TAAAGCCTATAAAAATGCAAACTAATCTGCTGAATGGCTAAAAAAGAGCAGGTTCATACAGCATGAACATCTCTATAGGACTCTTTCCAGAGGCATCCTCATAATCCTTTAGGAAAAACAGATGGGTTGAAGATGTTGTTTATGAGAAAACTCTCTGTTAGGAAGATAACAGCCTTTCTAGGTACTCTCTGCTGTTTCTTCTGGGTTTTGGTTTTTTTCTTGCAAATATCTTACAGCTATTTTACAAATAAAAAAAAAAAAAAAGGCAAAAAAGGCAGCATATATGAGAAATGCTGGTTTCTCAACTCATCACGGATGAGGCACAAAATGTTTTCAGTTTCAGCTGAAGCTGGAAAATTGATCTCTTTAAAAACGAGTGGTTTTTTTCCAGTAAGCAAGACTGGTTACGGTAAGAAGCTTGAAACAAACATAAATGTGTGGTTTTTAAGGAAAATAAAATATTATATTTAACCAATATAAAATGCTGCTTATTGAAATTTGCTATAAGCTACATACAAGAAGGTTGCCGTGTCCTTGCCAAAGTGGCAAACTGCAGTGGCATCTGATAAACCAGATGAGACAGCTTCGGTTGCAGTTGGTATGCAAAACAGGGATGATGGCTTTGGAGCCTTTCTAATATGTGTAATCAGCAGTTCTAAATGTTTCCTTCTTTGAAAAACAGAAAGCAAGTTAGAAATTGTCTTCAGTATAGTAAAGCCTGCTTTTCTTTCCCTGTTGACTATGGTGAGCTTTGTTAGTATATCCCATTGGTGAGCACCCAGCAAAGGAAAACAGCCACTGCACAGGAAAGGAGATTCTGGAGAGCTTGTAGTCTTTCTGTTAGCATCAACAAAATTAATATGCAGCTGCACCACGAAAGGAAAACAGCAGGTTGCTTTAACTCCAGAGAAGCAGCAGCAATAGAAAATTTAGATCAGCAGAATGGATGGCTTCTTTTTCAATGTAGAGACAGTTAGTGCCTCCTGGCCTTGAGTTAGGTTTAACATGCAACTGAATTTAAAGCAACTAGGTAAGAAAATTCAAGCCAGGAGCTTGACTCTTATCCTGCCTCTCATCCTCAATCCCTCCTTTCCCTTTAGTAAGGTAACTAGTTTATTTCATCACCTTCATTTCCCACACTACCAAGTGAGAATATTTTAATAGTATTTGAAAATCGCAGTTGTATGTAAATTCTAAGTATAATTATTAAATAGCTAATACTAGAAATGGCACAAGAATTAGGAACAGTATATTCCCACATATAGCACTGAGGAACAGTCCAGAGTGATATTAATAATTTTTAAAATAGAAAATACTCACACCTGTACTTGTGAAAACTTACTATATATGTAACATGACCTACTCTTTAGTAGCATTTTCTTTTAATTGCTGTCATGATTAATATACAAGTAGACATTTTCGGCATTTATTTTATGAGGAAATACTTAAGCAGTTATCAAAGAACAGTTAGAGTAAATGTTAAAGATATCTTGCATATCTAGAACTAACTTTAAAAAAAAGTACAGTTGAATCTTCTCAATTAATATCCTGGATATTTACTTTTACACATGGACCACAATCTAACACACGCAGGAAAAAATGCTGCAACATTTGTTTTAAAACTGTTCCTTCCTTTTCTGCCCTAGGATGAATGCCTGTTCACAGCTGTGACCTGCTTCCAGAGGGGCATACTGAAATTACAACCAGCAAACAGCCAAGTAAATTCCACATTCTCCCAAACCACTAAAGTCTTGAAAAATTTCACCTTCAGGAACCCTGGCAAGGTAGGATTTCCTCACAGTGCTCATAATTGTGATCATCGCCTCATATTTTCTATTGCAGACACCACCTGCAAGGGTGGAATTGTAGAAAGCAAACTTGTTAGAAAAAACAAGCTGCCTTTCATTACTTTGGAAATTAAAAATGTCCAATTTTCTGCACTTCTGGGAGAGGCATTCACTCTGATCCTATCAGAGGATATTGCATGTTTGTACTTGGCAACCATACAACATGTCAGACAACAGGACAGGGATTACTGCAAACCCTGTGCACAAAAGGTGTCATTACTATATCCTTGCCCTTTCTGAAACAGCCTGTGTCTCAGCTTGTCCATTTGTAAAAGGCTTTGATTACAAGCCTCTTGATTTTTTTGAAGTATTGTTTATGATTCTGATGTGCTGCTTAGAAATGGCATGATTTTCTTTTATCTTCCAGCACTGTGAGTCTTCATGTGAATCTTACGAGAAAAAGAACCCCAAAGAGTTTTTGAAGAGCTTTGAAAAACTAATCCAAAAGGTAGAGTTGATTCCTCCTGGGTGCTTTTTGACATGTTGCAAACAAACAATTACAGATATCCTTATTTTACACTATTTCTAACAACGTTTTGTTTTTACAGTTATTGAAGGACTAATATAGGACACACCAGAGCTGAAGGCTACTGAACATCTACTATTTAAAGCAGACACTATGTTATTTAATACCACATGAAAATGTAAATACCTTCCATTGCTCCTATGCTGTGCTGTGTGTGTGGTAAGTGGAAGCTTCTCCCAAAATATTACGGAGTCTTATTTGGATGGCTATTCATAAGATGGATGCTCTTATGAAAGTGACCCTAGCCTCACCAATTGAAAATTAAATTGTAATTTCACAAAAATAAGTTCTCATAAGGGACTTAACTGTCACCTGCTGAACTAGAAATACATGAGATGGCTACTCACGTATTTTTGCTTTGATCTTAAATGAATGTCATACAGAGATGTCTGAAACTTTTTTAGAGAAAATGAAAAAAAAATTATCAGAGACTTTGAAGTCTCAAAGAGTACCTACTTGGACTGATTTCCTTATCTACAATAATACCACACACACAATTTTATTTATAAGTTCTTAGACTGTATCTTAGCTAACTGTGGAAAAATATCCTGCATTTAACTGTCATATAAATACTGGAAAAACATTTACAAATCATACTGTATGTCATAGGTCTGACCTGTGTCCATGTTGAAGTTAATGGCGCGTTTGCTATGGGTTTCACTAGGGAGAGGAGTAACCCACATGTTCTAAGCGGAGATACAGGGTTCTGTGGGGAAAAACAGATTTCAGAAGATGGAATTCCACCTAGATACCCAAAACTTAATGTGATAAATACAGCAGTGGCTTGACTGGCTGGTATGACCAGCCACTGCAAAAGGTCCAAAAAATATAGTAATCGATAATTATTCAGAATGAAGCAGCTCAAATGCATATTGCTCTTTCTCACAAGACAGTATTTTATACTCATATTCATGTACCATTAACATTAGTCCTTCTGTCTAGTGTTGATTCATTTTAATGGTTTAAGTTTTAATAGCAATTTTTTCCTGAAAAACTATCACATTTTTTGTTATGTGGAAACCTGCCTGTATAGCTGCTGCATCCTGAATCATTCTCTGGAACTATGGCCAGAGATACCACTGAAACTTTTTAAAATAAAAGTGAGTATCATAGCACCTAAAACTAGTTTCTAGCAGCTTAATTATATACCACCACATTCTGCTTGCAATGCTTCTGTGCCTCTAGGCTCTTCCACCTGAGAAGTAACTGTTCATCTACCCCTGAACAGATATTAGCCCCACATGAGGAAACTGCTCTTGGAAGAGAGTGTAAAGCCTTCCAGTAAAAACTAACCTTTCATTTAATTTTCTCTCTACTTAGTAGAAATGTGGTATAGAGAGGAAACTGGAAAACTACATCTAGTGTTACAATGGAAAATGACAAGCCTAGTTACCTCCAAAAATAATGAGGTAGTATTAAAAATATTTCCATTCCTACCAATGTCAGCCTAAAGGAAAACTAATACAAAAAAGTTTTTTGCCTCCACATTTTCACTGTCCTGAAACGTGAACCTCCTCAAAAGCTCATGTGAGAGGAGTAAGGGCAACAACAAACTGTGTTTCCACAGCGAACCCTCCTTGTTTCTGGTGATGACCATTTTGATTTAAATTGTCTTCTTTTTTTTTTTCTTTTTTGCTTCAAAACCTGCTTGTCCTCTGAGTAATATTCTATCTCATATCTCAATGTTTCCACATTACTACGTGAGAATTGATGTTCTAAATGGGAACTACCACTTGTATGTAATTCCATTAGCTCCTAAGTTTAAAATGGTATTCTGCACTATTTATCCCCGTTTCTCTGACTTTGCTACCCACAAAGTCCCTTAATCACCAATTGGTAAGCAATATGCAAAGCTGCTACTGCAACTGCATTTGATTTTGAAGTTACAGAAGTAGAGAAAATCAAGGTAAAACTAAAATTCAGATTTGGATGAAAACAACTGGGAAAAGATTAAAGCAAGCCCTGCAATCTGCTGATGTTTCCACAACTTCACACTTAAATTTTTACGGAGGCGTTTAGTTCATGATAAAGGCATTTGATTAAGTCATGCTAAGTCACTCACTTTTTGGTAAGTCCTAGAAGGCTAACCAATAAAACAGCGCTTTTCATTCACTTCCATAGAATATTTGCATGTGCAGAATTTTGGGGAAAGAACTTTATTTTTGTGCAAAGACTACAGTATGTATTTTTTGATTTGCAAATGTCTTTTCCAGTAATTTGCTATGTGCATTCAAATCAATATTCTAAAAGAGCCTGTTAACATTTTTGTTGTGCAGATGAAATGTGATTAGCGTGCCCTAACGAAAAGAACATTGTACATTACGTATTTATTAGTAATCATTATAAAGCATTGAAAAATAACTTTTGTACCTGGGATATATATTTTACAACAGAAAAGCAATTTCCTAACCAGAATGTCATATGCTAACTAGTTACTCCTGTCTACCCTGGAACAACTGAGTTTTGTACATGAGGCAGCATGTAATGCAGTAAGTAATGTAGCTACTTCTGTTTAGTGACTTGCTCCCCTGTTTAAACTATAGACCTTATCACATTAAGCATAGTGCTAAAGGGGTTTTTTTATTCTTTTAAACATAATGTACTCATTTGTTAATTGAGGCTATTTCTTGCACCAGCAGAACAACTTAATTCAAAATGCTCATTCATAGGATTCAAAAAAATAATGAGAAGCTGCAACAAATGTAACTTAGAGGATTAATCGTTCCGAGATCTTGCAGAAAACTGTATTTATTGGACTAATCCAGTCCAGATATGTAAGCAGAATATTAATTACAAAATTATCACAGCTGATTTTAATTAACACCACCACACTTCAGGTAATGTCAGTGCAATCACTGTGGGCAGCTGTGTACGCTTCAAATACACATCGACTGATGTGACACTGAAGCCTCGTGCTAACTCTGTGATTTGTTAGAGTTATGAAAGGTTGAGTGTGTTATTCAGGGTGTGTTATCTGGATCCCAAATGAAGAACAGGAAACCAGTGAATGACAGACCAGTCTTCAAGAAGACATCATGTTGTTCTTCGACAACATTCTCAGGAGAAAAAATGAAGATGCCCCAGGAGGAACTTGTGACCCTAGGAAGGACTAGTTCTCACAATTTCAGATGTGTACACAATCTTGACTTATTTTTACTTGTAAGATGAATTGTCTTTGTACTAATTGCACTCTCTGCAGAAACAATGTATGTTTCATTAACTGAGTACGTACAGTAAGCCATGAAAGCTTATTACCTCCCAGGGAGGTTTTACAATATATTTATGATTTTAGTCATAAGTGCCCTTTGCAGGCACTTCAAGATGTGTTTTAGCATGGTATATATAATTCTGTATATTTACTTTTCCTGAGAAGATTCTTTATTTTTATACCAAGTGACTAATTAATTTAATTATTTATTGCATTTCTGTGAATGGAATGTTCATTCTAAAGACTATGTGGTCTGATTTATTTATACGCCTGTGATATTAAATGATTTTAGCTAATATGATGTCCTCATTTTTCTTTAAAAACTTCTGACCTTTCCTACCCTGGGAGTAGCCAGTAAGACCTTTCAGTGAACTTTGTTCTTTATTAGCCTGCACTGTCATAGAGTTTTGCAGATCAGATCAGGGAGTTGGAATACAAAGTTTATTCTCCCCCTGTTCTTATATGACCTTGATGGTCATATAGATGACCCCAAGAAGGGGTCGTTAGTTTTTCATTTTTCCCATCTCATTTGAAAATCTTTTTTAAAAATCAGCTTTTCAGGCTTAACAAATTCCTTTTGGCAAACTCACAACAGGTTCAATCACGTCACCTAGATTTCATTAGCCTGACGAACAAAAATCATGTAACTTCACATTTTAAGTCTACACAAAGTCAAAACACCTAAAAACATAAGTCTAGAAGTAACAGTTACCCAGTCTGTTTTTCACTGTTCTGTCTCCTCATCTTACTTTTCTCTTTCTTTGAAATGTCAATTCTTTTTCACATCCCAATTTGAGATGACGTGTCGAAGTTCTCAAAAAATGAGTATTTTTAGCTATTATACTTTATAATGGTAACTATGATATATCTTTTATAAAAATGCCTTTTCCCTAAAATGTAACAAGAATGGACTTTGTTCCAACAAACAAGCACAAAGCTCTAACAAAAACAAAGACTAAACGGTTGAACAGTTATTCCTTCCCTTTTCACCTGTTCAGAAAACACTCAAATAGTATCTCCTTCCATGATGTCTCCTGTCATCACAAATCTGCTCTTGTTGGGTCTGATTTTCTTTAAAAAAAAATCCTTCAGAAATAAATAAAAACAAAGTGGAAGTGTCATAAAACATTCGAGACTTTAGGAATAAACCACTCCTATGTCCAGGACAGAGGCTGATGTGCAACACAGCACCACTACAGTCTCTCTCCTAGAAGACAAGTAGTCCTACTCTGCCCAGTAAGTATTTTCCTCTCAAAAAAAGAGCCCACAGACGGGCTCCTAACAAGCTGGATGTGCCAGTTCCCTCCTGTTGGCTCCCAGATAGTTCAGTGGTGGCAGACACCTGAATTTGCAGCCTATATCACGCTGTAAAAGCATTTGGAGGGATGAGCAAAAGGATAGGGTTTAATCCAAGCAATCCCTTCTGTCTTTGCATACAAGAATCCAGCGGGAGTCGTGTTTGCTGGGATTCACCCAGGGTTAACCATGAGTCAAATCGGAGCCATAGGTCCACTCAATGAAGAGAAGCAGAAATACTCAGGAACAAGTCATCCCCCTCCAAACTAGCTATGTACTATAGGTGACTGGAAAAAAACACAGGGAATACTTCTCACTCGGATAACTACATATTTAATGCGTATTACTAGATGTGATGAAGCTCACTCAAACTACCTAGGATTTAGATACAAGCCAAAATGTTCAGAATATTTTATGTGGCTGATGCAGTGTCTCCAGGTGCATATTTGCTAAATACACTGTAGCCTCTCTTTCCTGGTATAACATACTTAATTTTGCACATATACACTGGCTTTATTTCTTACTGGCATTTT